GAAATCATTTCTCTCTCAATTGTTGTGATTGGCACAATTCAAATCAAGATGTTTGATGGTATGGTAAGGACACTTGAGGTGAGACATGTCTCTGACATAAAAAATAATTTGATATCCTTGAGTTTGTTAGATTAGAAGGGCTACAAATGGGGTGGCCAAAATACTATCTTGAAGGTATCTAAATAAGCCTTAACTATCATAAAAGGCAAGTAATCTAGTGACCTTTGTTGCCTAGTAGCAAACACGGTTATTGGAATTGCGTTTGTAGTCTCATCCAATGATCTTGATGATAATGTTACATGTTTATGGCAAATGAGATTGGATTATATGAGTGACAACGGGACACCAAAGTTGTGTAAGCATGGTTTATTGCATAGTCAAAAGATTGGGAAGCTAGATTTCTGTGAGCATTACATCTATGGCAGACAACATAAAGAGAAATTTAACACTACAACTCATTGAACCAAAAGTACAGTAGACTATATCCATTCAAATTTGTAAAGTCTTTCTCTAATGGCATCAAAAGGTAAATCATTATACATGAGGACCTTTATTGATGATTTTTCAAGAAAGGTGTGGACGTATTTTTTGAAGGCTAAGAATGAAGTGTTTACCACCTTTTTGCATTGCAAGGCATTGATCAAGAAGGGGATTGGGAAAAGAACTTAGAGCTTTTGAGCAAACATTGGCTTGGAATTTTGAAAAGGTGAGTTTGGTCTAATTTGTGAGAATGAGGAAATCTTTAAACATTGCACTATCATCAAAACATCACACCAAAACGATATTGTAGAGAAAATGAAAAGAACACTTTTAGAGAGAGCAAGATGCATGCTCTTTAATGTTAGCCTACTTAAAGTATTCTTGATAGAAGCTATCAATATGGCTTGCTACTTGATAAATCAGTCTCCATCAATTGTAATTGAATTTAAGACACCTGAGGAAGTTTGGTTTAGTAAACCTATTGATTACTCTATATTAAGAGTATTTGGCGGTCCTGTTTATGCTTATGTGAGTGGTAATAAACTTGAGCTAAGGATAATGAAGTGCATATTCCTAAGCTATGCATATGAGGTGAAGGGTTATTGGTTGTGGCGTATTGATCATAAGTCTCTCAAGTTTATGGTGAGTCAGGATGTTACCATTGATGAGTCTGTATTACTTCATGAGATAAAGTCAAGAATTGCAATCACATCATACTAAGAAGTTGGCTAGCAGGTGGGGCTTAAAATCAATGTTCTTGGGACAATGCAAGGTGGTAGTGAAATCCAAAATGAATTGCAAGAGGTACAAGAATCGGTATCTTATATACAACAATGAAGCATTACTTGCGTCAATAGTGATTTTGATTCTTATGTTTTATCTGTGAAAGTAGAGATTAATAAGCAGGGGATGAGGTTTTAACGATGTAATGAGGGATATAGTAAAGGAATGGAAGTTTTGATGGTGCTCACCGGGTTCTTTGCACAGCAGGGAGCTGCTTTGGCTGTTTAACAGCAATGAGGGATGCTGTTATTATGGTTTCAAAGGGTGAAGGTGAGATGCTGAACGGTTGGCTGCTGAAATCGTGAATGTGGAATGAGTAAGGAGGAAGGATTGTGTTGCGATGGTATGACCTTGCATTCTCAGTTTCATAACATGAGCAACCTGTCACGACTTCGCCTTTCAATTGCTTCGCAGCTGGGCTTGAATGCTGAGAGTGACCTAACCTCTCTTCTTGGTCTAAAAATTCAAGACCAGTGAAGGCTGTGATAATGCTCTGCTGAATCCTAATGGTTTCCACTGAATGTTGATGTTTCTGGGTATATAGTGCACATATAAGAGCAGATTTATCTAGGGGTAAACTGATTTTTTTCTTCTTAGTCTTGGTTCTTCATACGGCACAAGTCACGGTGGGGAATATGTCCCACTTGGGTTGGCTGTACTACTATGATATAATAGTAGTTTTTTTAACATATTTGATGAAATGAAATCTCATATTGCCTATACAGTTAAAGTTTTTTTTTTTTTTTAATTTTGTTTCCTGAAAGCATAAACATTTCCCTCTTCATACCTCTTAACTTTATTCCCTTAAAATGGGCGTGTGATTACCTAGGGGTTGAATATTACCTAAAGAAAAGAATGTATATATAATAAGAGGAAATTTTGACTGTGGTAATTTATAAGTATATATGCATGGAAACAAATAAAGTACATAATTCATTAAATAATTTTTAAAAATTAAATAACTTAAACATAATATATATATATAATTTTCCCATCATTTTGTGGGTTTTTTCTTTTTTTCTTTTTCTTTTTTGTAAAATGTTATCAATTTTAATTAGACTTAATATAGCAACTTATAATAGAGTAAACTATTTAAATGGTTATTTAATTAAGTTTTTGAAAACATCTATTTTAGCCACCAAACTGCAAAAAGTTACACAATTGAGTCATAACTGTTTACATTTTGTTTCAATCCTTACAGTCAGCTGCCTTTTGGGGATCACTGGTAGATTACTGATTCACATCGATCCTAACCAGCATATTAGGCTGACTAATATGCCTACTTAATTTGCCATGTACAAGAAAAACGATTTTTCCACCAATAACAGTCCAAAAATCAAAGAAATACGAATAAATCTTCGAAAAAAAACCCTCATGCTTAAGAGAGAATTTTTAACTCTCAATTTTCCAATCAATTATTTCTTTAACTTCTAAACAAAGCAAATTATATATGCCAATTTTTTTTTGGATGTGAGCACTTTCCTTCCTAATTTTTCTTTAATTAATTTCTATCAAAGTCATATGCCAATTGTCATCCAACCCTTCAGCTTCAGCACTACAAATATGGTAAAGTCAAAGCTTAATTCCGCCCTATTTCCAGCAAATTTCTTGTGCACTCATCAAATAATCAGGCATTCAGCTGTAAAATTATTTACTTCCTTGTATGAACGATTTTCAGTTCTTTGAACAACCAAACTCCTTTTTTCCCTTCTGCCTATATATACCCAAGCTTGGTTTCCTTCCCTTCGCAAACAAGTTTTCTTAAGCTATATTGTCATTAGGGCAGCTGACTACCCAGAAAGCCATGTCCAGCAATAATTTTCTCCCCTTCCCTATGGAAGAAAATGCTCACATCCAAGGGAGATTCATTCAACGACGACGGAGGCAAGCTTTAGGAATGTCAATAACTACACCAGATCCCTTTGCCTACCAAAATCCATACCATAGTATGCTTTCAGCTCCTCCCTTTCATGGTTCTTTGAACAGAAACAGGCTCCTTAGCGTTCGCCGCAATAATTCCATGATCCATAAGTTCCACCAGGTTCACGCCCGGATGCGCATGGCACGTAGATTTGGCATTGGTGCACAACAAGCAGCCCGAGCTGCATTTCTGCGAAACTGTGGTCTGGTGATTACAAGGCAAATACCTGTAATAAACCATCAAGTTGTTGCTGCTGCTTTCACATGTTTTCAGGACAATACTACTTCAAATCTCCTAGAGGGATCTTGTGTAGAGATTCATGGACACGAAGACGACAAGTTGGTGGATACAGAGGAGCAAGAAGATGGACTTGACTTGAGACTCAAGCTTTAACCAGCTGTATTTTTTGGTTTTCTATATGCTGTTTAGAGATTCAACTCTACATTGTTCAAAAGAAAAATTTTCAATGCCCTTCTGTTAGATTTATAGTAATAAACTTTGAGTTTTTCATAAGTTCAGAGAAGAAGTTTAATGCAATTCAGTAAATTTTCAATGTCTAATTCTTAATTGCTGACCATCACTTTCAATTTCTTAAAAAGCAAGAAAGCTATATCTTTTGATAAAAATTTCAACAAGTCAAGCTATGGCTATATCAGAATATCTGATCACTTTTCATCCATTCATTGAAAGATATACGTACTTTAAAATTTGAAGAAGATATTACAGCCATTTTCTCTCAATTTTGAACAGATTAAATTATATAAGATAAAATTTGGCGATAATTAATTTCCCTAGTCACTTTGTATTCCATTTGGGGCCTTCAGTTTTTTCTCTTATTTCAATCCAAACACTTTTACTTACATCTTTGACTTGATCCCAATTTGAAAAATTTTTAATGGAAATTCATAGGGATGATTTAACAAATAATAAAAATATTTTAGGGAACTTGTATTGTGTTAATTTTCATACAAGAATGCTCGCATAATCAAATTGCACCGTGCTTGATTTCATACAAAATTGTTTATTGTTAAACCTATATATATATGCATTTGTATTTATGTTTAGTATTATATATATATATATTATAGTTTATATTTAAAAAAATGTTTTTTTTTTTAGAATTTGATCAACTTTTGAGTACTCAAATTAAGAATTCAGTTGAAATTCTCCTTTCTTGACATAAAAATAAAGATTCTAAACATTTGAATTTTAATGCAGATATTGGCAAAGAAAAGCATATGGTATTGTTTCACTATTATTATGTTATCATTATATTCATCACTGTATGAACAGAATGTGATAATTTGAAAGCTTCTGAAACAAGAAATATTGCAAGAAAGTGCACATAAAAGAATAAAATTTTCTGTTAGTAAGCCAACAACATGTAAGAAATAATCAAGCATACTCCTAAAAGTGGACATGAATCAAATACATCAACAACACCCATCAATTCAATCTCCAAACTATGACTAGTAAGCAGTGATCCTCTTTTTTGTGGACGCACTTACAATGTTCATAAAAGGAAGAGAGAAAGAGAGACAAGACAACTACCCAAAGCAAGCACCCCCATCGACTTTCACAATGCCTAAAGTCCCTCCTCAATAACCATATCCTGCCCCATCAATGTTCTTTTGGTCTTGTGTTTAAGTAATGTACAAGTATGCAGTATGACCCTTCACATGAATTTCTATTAAGTTCTTTTCTTTTTTCATGCACGCTTTTGTAACAAATATGCACTTCACATCAGCTCCTCCATCCATTAGCCTATCAAGGGAATATTCACAATGATTTCCTTCTCAGTTGAACCAACACAAACTCAAACGAATACATCACGCCGCTTCTTCGGGTTTGGTTCAGGGTTTCCTTTTCTCATCATTGCCACAAATTCTTCGTAGTTGATCCTTCCATCCTGCCAAAAACGTCAGACAACATTTTATCATTTATGCAATACTTGTTTAAACAAAAATGGTGTCATGCATGTGCGTTGTGCCTAGTCATTCACGATTTTAGCTTGAAATGAAGAAAAACAACTTAAATCTATTGATTTACTGTTGACGGATTTGCTTTTGTTTTTCGTTTGAAAATGGAATGGATGTTTTGCTTACATTGTCAGAGTCAACTTCTGAAAGGATTTCCTTTATGTCTCTGCCATCATGCATGCCATACTCACGGAGAGCTTGTTCTAGTTCTTCAGTCGTGATGTACCTGATGGTAGCCATATATGTATAGTTATGCAATGAATCAAAAAAACATAAAAAAATGAAATTAAAATTTAGAATCTATATTCAACTGCAGCTTTGGTTTTTTCCTCTTATTCTTATTATTATTATTACCCGCTATTGTCTTTATCAAAATGTTGGAAGGCATGGTACAGATGATCTTCTCTATCCATTCTGTTCATATGCATTGTGGCCGTGATGAACTCATCATAGTCTATGGTTCCATTTCCATCTGCATCAGCCTATTTTCAAAATATAAAAAAAATTAAGAAAATACCATGTATTTATCTCTTTTTTTAAAAAAAATACTTTAGATAAAATTGATCTTTATATAAAAGACTTACAGCCTCCATTAGTTGTTTAACTTCATATTCAGATAGTTTCGTTCCTTGCTTGGCAAGACCTTGCTTCAATTCTTCAAGTGTTATTGTCCCACTGTTATCGGTATCCATTCCCCTGAACATCTCCTTCAATCCCCTGATTTCTTCCTCTGATAAACATCCCGCAATGACCTACAATCAATTTCAGGAAAATTTGATCAGAAACAAATTTCCATGGAGGTATATATATGTGTGTGTATGTAGCAACTGGTACATTTCTTCTATTACTAGTGAAGCAATTAGACCATTAATTTTTCTTTAATTGGATAAAGGAGATTTAAATTCTACTTTTTAGAGTAGGGGATATAACGTTCATGAACTTGTTATGAATGTTTTGGGGAATTCTAATCAATGAGGGGTTGGCTATGGACTCAATACCCGCAAAGCAACTTTCTTGAACTTGTTCATTGCTTTGAACTGTTTGAGCCTGGTTAGCACTGCGTTGTCTAGAGGTGTATCAGGTGCTTCACCATCCTCTTTGATCCATGGATGGCCTGTTGATAACCATATGTATACTCCATCAGAAACATGCACAATGTCCAAAATATATAGCGGAGACAAGTTCATTCCAAGTCAGATATTCTTTTCTGTTGTGCTTTTCCAAAGCAAATAGCATGTGGACATGTGTCCAGATAACGTCATACTGAATGTAAAGGAAAAAACATTGACGCATACATACTTAGAACCTGGATGGCTGTTAACCTCTGCTTGGGATCGGAATTTAGCATCTTCCTGACAAGATCCTTTGCTTGATGTGAAATTGAAGGCCATGGATCACTTGTGAAATCAATGTGGCCACGTAAAATTGCATTGAATATCCCATGTTCAGATTCTATCAGCAAAAATAATCTTAGCTTCAAGCTTCAGGAGGACATTTACTAGGTAGGATTCTACATATAGGTACCTATATTTCATAAAAAGATCGATTAAAAAAGGAGAGAAATGAGAATGACAATATAACTTACCTGCCCAGAAGGGAGGAACACCACTTAGAAGAATATACAACATAACTCCAATACTCCATATATCGGCTTCTGGTCCATATCTCCTCTTCAAGACTTCAGGTGCAATATAATATGCACTACCAACAATATCTTTAAATACTTCACCTGTTTGGAAGGCAAAATTATTGTTCCTTGTCATTAAATGTATCACAAGAGACATATTGGTTAAAATTATCCAAGGAAATAGGAACGACTCTTAATGACAATGTTCAGCCAAAAAAAAAAATCAAAACTGAGGAAATAATCTCAACCTGGCTTGTAAAAGACTGACAGACCAAAATCCGTGGCCTTGAGTGGGGAGTTTTCGTCCTTGTTCAACAAGAGGAAATTCTCAGGCTTGAGATCCCTATGGATGACCCCCATAGAATGGCATGTGTGCACAATCTGAACAATTGTCCTAAGCAAAGAAGCGGCTGCACGCTCGGTGTAATGGCCCTTAGCAATGATCCTATCAAAGAGCTCTCCTCCAGCACATAGCTCCATCACCAAATGAACCGAATGCTTATCCTCGTAAGCTCCCTTGAGTTCCACAATGTTAGGTTGACCCGTCAAATGGTGCATGATCTGTACCTCCCTTCTGACATCCTCAATATCCTCCTTGTTAACAAGTTTCCTCTTCGCTATTGTCTTGCACGCGAATTGTTCCCCTGTTGCCTTGTTCGTACACAAATGTGTAACCCCAAACTGTCCCCTGCCCAATTCTTTGCCAATGGTGTAGGTGGATTTAATGTCTTCCATGGGGCGGCCTAAGACAGGGCCAATCGGGCTAGGTTTGGAAGGCTTGGAGGAGGCTCCCGGTGAGGGTGAAGGTTGCGAATGCCTAGGTGGATTATTGGCAGAACTCTCCTGCAGGGAAGAGCTGCTGGGGTTGTTACCATTATTATCAGGTGTGGCGTCTCCCTTTTCATTAGTGTTAGGGGCACCGGCAGGGTTGCCACGAGAGCAACAATTCCCCATTGTGGAAGGGAGATAGAGAGATGGGTGGGATTGAAGGCGCGGGTGATGGCCTTAAGCAGCTAGAGGGAGAGTTTTTCCAAATTCTGATTGGGCTGAAGAAAAGCTTGTTAGACAGAGAGAGACAATGTATAAAGTGAGGAAAGATTGTTGAAAGATTAGTACAACCAGCTTGGATTTTGGTGTAGAAATTGGAGGGGATTGATAGTGAGGGATTTTAGGATGAAAGCGCGTGTGAATTGTGGTGAAAGAGTCATTGGTGTGTTTGAAACTATTGGAAATGCAGGTGTTAAAGAGACAAAGGTCCAGAGGATTTCCCGGTCAAATATTGAAAAACCGTTCTGTCTGTTGGGGGCATCAACAAACACGACAGCTGCTGTAAAATATCAGTTGGCTTTATTCTTGTTAGCTGTAAACCAGGCTTTCCCCTACTGTCATTATTTACTGAAACAAACCTATTTGAGTTTCAGTCATCCCAGGCCATGAAAACAAGAAGCCATCAAGAGGATCCATCATTTCAACATGTTTAAGTGTTCATTATTTCCATATTTTCTACCCTTCTTATGTTGCAAGTCTAAGCCGCCCAATGCTTTCTTGAAATTTAGAATCATAAATATATTTTATCTAATTCTTTGAATAAGAAATAAATACTCTTTATCACATATATAATCAAACTTAGAAAAGAAAAACAATAGGAGGAATAAGATAGAGGTTTTGTGAATTATACTAAATTCGTGTAATACATTTTTCGTAAACCATAATTCCAAATAATCAAGTAGTACAACGTAATTGTAATTAGATAACATCATGTTTTGAAGGGGAAAAAAGGCAACAATAGATTGTGACTAAAGTTTTTAGTTTTCAACTTCATAATTATTGTCAATGCAACTCTGCATCTAGGAGTGCCAAACCAAAACTATGGACTAGTTCCATTTCCAAGCAGCATATGGCTTGTGAAACGTGTTTCCTGAAGAACCTTGCATATTTTGTAAAAGGAAAGCAGATTGATGCATTATTACAGCTTTGATATTCAAATCCACCCCAATCATAAAGGGTAAAGTTTTCAAAATTGTGAAGAAAACATTTGAAAAGAGGAGCGAGGGATGCATGAGATAATCTCAGTAAGTAGGAACAGAGGGATCCACCTTGGTTGCATACGCATGTATTCCCCCAGATAGATTAAAAACTTTCCTAAATCCCTGAGCAACAAAAAATAAAATTAGTTAGAAAGAACCAGCAAAATTTAAACAAAAAAACATTAAACAAACCTCACAAAATCACCTTCAATATAATATTAGAAGCAACAACAATAGCAGAAAATGAAATGAAAGATAAACTTGTCAGAAACTCTTATGATTTCTAATAGCAAGCATAGAACATCTAGAATGACCTCAATGTGAAACTTCGAATGTATGGGCAAGGAGACAGACTAACTACATAGTTCATGGATTTAATTCAAGTAAACTGATTCTCCAAGATCATGTAAAGAATAATATCCACAACCAACCTAGACAGAAACCACACTGTTTCCAAATTCTCCACCCCTCAACAACAAAACCCCAAACCAATAAAAGGACTATCTTTTCTTTTTTGGAAGACAATGGACCTTCAATTAATGTTTCGCATGCATTCAACCTCTTTCAGTATGGCCTTTTGGAAAAACAGGCTGCATGTAGGAGGGAGACACTAACTCTTATGTTATGAATGACCTGGCTGTTGTTCTGACCATACCGGCTTTAGAATCTAACAAGCGGAATAAAGACAACACGGCTTAAAGCTTGATGTTGCTCTCAAACTTTCTTCACTGTATACCATAAACTTAAATCACATCCAATGAGAACCATATTGTAAGCACTCAATAATATCATAAATTACAGCACAGAACAAATGGCTAACTGGCCACTGGTTTTTCTAAAAAGGGAGCGGAGGAGGCACAAGAAGCTATGAGTCATAATGAGACCCCTGAAAGAGAATGTGAATGCCAAAGGAACACACACAAGAGCTGTGAAAGCCAAATAAAGTAAAAGGGAGAATGTAATGATAATAAGCTTAACCTGAGTCTGTAACCACTTGGCAACCTGTAATGACCGCATGCCATGGTGACACTGCACAATACATTTTAACACAATTAAAATGAGATATCAAGGAAAAGAAGCAAGAAACAAGCATAAATGCAGGATGATTATTGATCTATAAAGCAAAAGTTATAATAATTTAAAGAATTGAAAGGAATTTATCCCATGAGTTCACACTGAAGAGATTGCATGCATTTTGCCCTGGAAAACAAAACATTAAGCGAAAACTTTTGTGTACAGAAGCTCATGGCTGGAAGACTCTTTATTAGCTGACCACAAACTATTCATGAGAAACACTATAATGAGATTCTATGATAGATACCAATTATCAATCTGCATTGATGATCTGCATTGATGAAATCCATTACCAATTATCAAAATGCTGTAAACATTGATTTTCAATTCATTAATGGCCTTACAACAAAAGGGGCTGTTGAAACTGAAAAAGGTAGAAAAATCTATGGGAGATTCAAGCCTACTCTTCCAACGATGCCTCTCCAATGGAGTTCAAACAAGTGGAAAAAGAGTAATAACACCTGCAAGGTCACAGGTGATGCACCAAATACTAAATCTTAGAACGTCATTTACTACCAAGTACCAACTCCAATTACAAGAACAAACATGACTCTACAACAACTGGAAACAGCTTAAATATAAATTCAAGAAATAATGTCAAGATTCTTCGCAGCAAGACAAAATACATTCAGAATTATAATCAGATGCCATTCATTTTCCTTAGTTAAATGAGAAAAATAAAGAAATGAATCTTTGACATTGAAAAGAAAACACTCACCATGACATATGTATCCTTCATTGGATCAAGCTTGCTAGTTATTTCTGGTCCCCAACTTCCAAACTGGCGGAGAGGAAGAACCTGGAACCCTGGCAAAGAAGCTTGGGACCTGACATGCCAAAAGATTGAAACATGAATTCACAGCAGCCATTATCCTCATCAAAGGAAAAGACAAGGCGTTACAACCTGTTTGTGAAATGTTCTAGCTGTATAGTGCCTTATCATGGTGATAAAATTCACTGATGGAATAATTGGTAAGTAGTATATTACATGATTTTGTCTACTGCTACTGAAGGTAAGGTTTCAGGTATGTATTAAAAAGACTTCAAATGATTCCAATTTATTTAAGATAATAAACAGTAAAATTTCCAGGAACTTTTTTCTGTCCCTATCAAAATAATTTTTAACCGTTCATGTTATTTCATTTTTCTTGCAGTTTGTTTTCTCGCAGTTTGATCAATGATTGATCAATTAATTAGTGAGTTTAAAATCCTTTGCCCCCATTTCACCTAAAACTCTAAGCATTTGGAGTTGTTATGATGCAGTTGGTATAACTTTTATACCTAGAAGAAAAAGAATTTTAGTAACTTTGGTGTGAATCTCATTAATATTTTGAACATGTAAAATTGGTAAATCCACATAAAAATATCTTATTTCAGTCATGTAAACACACAAAATAAAATATGTAAGCATACACTTCTTCAGGTTCCCGGACATCTATCAACTGAGCTTCTTCAATGAAACTGGGATCTTGCATTTTTGCATGAAACTCCTCTGGTTGAATGTCTTTAAGCAATGATTCTTCCCTGAAGCAAGCTAATGGAGAGTTAGAACCAGCTTTGCTTCATCAAGCACACATTTCAATTGGGCAGAATGTTCCAAGGCATACCTCTCAGATAGAACTTCTAACAAGTGCCATCCATAATTAGTTTTACATTTAACAACTTTGTTTAAAGGTGCACTAAATGCAGCCTCCTCAAATTCCGGTACCTGATATATTTTACCATGAAAAAAGATCCATCAAACATGTTTGCAAGTAAATTTCAACATTTATCTTCTTGTGCAAATTTGTGCAAACATAAAGTGATGTGAATAAATGTATTTCACAAAACTGGGCAATAACTTCCATAAAAAAAAAAAAAGGAAAATCATACAGATGTTAAATTTTCAACAAGCAGATCTATTGTTGAACCTCAAATGAATCAAGATCAATATAACAGATAGCATAATGTACAGGGGCAATAAAATGCACGGAAAGCCCAAAACACATCGCAGGGGCCAATCTTAAAGCAATCAAGATAGGTTCAGGGGAGATTTCTCGGTTGGTGATGCTCTAATATGCATAAGCAAATCAGGTGCAAAATGCCTTCCATGTGGAATAACATACTGTTAACTATTCCCTCACATAAACAACACTTCATAGTCTAAAGGTTCTATCAGAAGCTTATGGCAACCGCAAGCTACTGACAAAGTCCAAGAACCATACGGGGGAGATACAGAATAATGTTTACATTAATTGTTTGTATTTTAGAACTCAAATCAATATATCATTGGCCACAACCACAAAGACGGCACTTTCAGCCTAGTTAACTCCAAGTTTTTCCAATTTTGAACTCAATATAAGTTGACTAAAGTTTTGAACTCATTACTGAATACATGAGAAAAAGTTTGGTACACTCTTCAAAATTAAGCAGGTCATGTTAGTTAACTTCTTGAAAATTGTTTCCTTTTCAGTGAATTTAAGAACCAAGCCATATATTTAAAGACGCTACCAGAAATTTAACACCATCTAGCTAAGATTCTTACTATTTTTAACCCCTCAAAAGAATAACAAGGTGTAAAAATTTTTAAAAAAAATTGGAGAATCTACGTACCATTTGCCCCTTTCTCACCCACCCAAGCATTCCCCCATTTTCTTTGGATGGACATATTGAGTATTCAACAGCAAGATCACTTAAATCCTCTCCTTCATGAAACAAATAACAAAAACTTTACATTACACCATGTGAGAGAATTAAATATTATGCAAGTCCAAAGTAACTTTAATCTAGGCTCTATTTTGTTGCTTCTCTTACCATTTTTTTTCTTTCTCAAAAGCTACTATGAAGGAAAAGCAAATTATGAAAATAAAGAACATAACTGATTTAAAATGAACAAATGACTAAAATACAACATCAGTCCTTATATAATTTGTTCTATATAAAGGTAAAATCATACATTTTGCTATAAAAAGTAAGTTACATTTAAAGGTTTTGATTTTTCAAAAAAAAAAAAAGTTTTGATTCTTTGCTTCTAGAAACCAAAAGCAAGTACTAAAAGTAACCAATGTTTATCCTAATAAAACCATAGCCCTGTTTATGATGGTAATAAAGAAAATTCACAAATTGATTTTAGAAATTTTCATATGTCATGCCTTAAGCTAAAAATATCAAATTTTTAAAAAAAATTACTAAAACAAACCTCCTGCAATTTTCTGTTGAAGCTCCAACAAGAGCTTCTGGTCATCCTCTTTTAGAAGCAAGTGCTGTACCAATATTTCTCTGCTATCTCCAAAGCCACTATCGGAATTAAATGAAGCTACAATGAAATAAGTACAACCAAAGTTAGACCAAAAAAGAAAAACATAAAACAAGGGAAAAAAGGAAGGCATGGTTTTTGATAAAATCACCAACCTGATGGTCTGAGTCGTGGATGACCCACCATGGGAGAGACTAGCCTGAGAGTAAGCGGGGGAAGATAAGGTCGAGTGGGTGTGAGGGGTTTGGAGAAGAAAGTGTGAAAGGGAGAAAATGTGGAGAGTCTGTGAAGAGAATAACAAGCTAAGGAAGAGACGCTGAGACTTGGAATCAAAGATTGCCTGAGAGCAAAGAAAGTTGGTGATGCTACGGGCGGGAGATGGGTTGCTCTTAACATTGCTTCACTCTTTTAAAATGTGCTGCCTACTTGTAGTTGTTCCTAGCTTCCGCCTTCATGGGAGCAGCAGAGCAGTTTAACTTGTAGATATATTTATACAAGGAAGAGTCGGGATTTTGAGCATTGGGTTTTTGGATGTTCGATGGAATTGGTAGCAAAACTGACGGAATCCAAACAAGTGAGAAATGGACTTCGTTCTGCCATCAGCAACCAGTTTCAGAATTTAGATGTTGATCTGAAACCCAAAAAGTTTATGGGCCTCATTTGGCATTTGGGCCATGTTTGGCAGAACCAATTTGAACACTTCATTACTAAATTCACATTATGTTCACTTAATTAAGTTATTAGATGAATAATTATGAAGTACAAATTTAGAATTCAATTGTTAGACATGTCAAAGCTAGAACATATATGAGGTCAGCTTGATTATGTCATTAACAAGATTAATAAGTGGTTTTTGTAAACAATCTCCATAATAGATTCATCTAAAAATAAAACAACTTATATATTTTACCTTTCTTCATTGCAATTAATCTTTAAGTTCAAAATTTTCACTGAAATTAAATCTTAGTAATATGTTGTTTTCACCATGGAATGGTTCATGTAACACATTAAGAGAAATTCACAATCTTGCTTCTTATGACCAAAATATGGATACTCGTTTATAAATGTTATCGAAAAAAATTTATTAAAATTAGCCGTTGTGACACCCTTTCGTTCGGATGAAAAAAAATAAAATATTAAGAGTTTTGAATCCGAAATGTAGAGTAATTGAGAAAGAAGAAAGTGACATGAAAATGAGCTTTACAACTTTCTTTTTCTCGATTGGAAGAAAAGGATTGGGACTCCATATTCTTTCAAGTAATATGCTTAGAAGCACTCTTATACCATTCTTCCATGCTTTGTAGACCTTTTTCCCCTAGTGTTCTTTCCTAGAGTCTAATAAAGCACTTTTTTGTTTCTACCAAAAACAAAGAAAAGCCTTCCATTCCAATCAACTACCGGAAGGAAAAAGCCTCCCTTCACCCAAAACAAAACAAAGGAAAAGAAAGAAAGAAAGCTTCATAAATTATTGCTTTTCTCTCATCTCCCTTGGTTTTCTCAAGCATCTCTACACTCACTTTGGAAAGGGATAAAAAATCTGAAATATATGCTTGAATATACTGCCAATTTTCAATTTTCATGGGACCGACTTACAAATAAAGAGCAAGTAATTAAGAAACTACATGGCTTAATCATTAGAATTTCAATCACATGAATATATATGCTACTGTTAATTTCTTTTACATTCGAATAGATATAATGGAAAAAATCTTTGATGGACTCATTTGTTCACATGTAATGCATTACGATATGTGCTAAAATGAGACAACCATGTGTCTCCTTCTTCCTCAAAAGGGAAGCAGTGGGTCACATGGAGATAAAGCTAAAGATCATGTGATGTCAAAGTATAATATGTCCACAGATTTTTTTCTCTTCTCTGAAGAGGGTCGGTTTGTTTGGAATAGAATCTTCCTCATTATTCAATTTTAGCTTTTGAACCCTTTGGATTCTATGCTTCAATATTTGTATATAATAAGAGGAGGACCATCCAATCATTGAGCAACACATGCATGCAAGAGGGATTAAGTATATGGATACATGTTAAGGAAAATGAATCCATTTTGTTTTGTTTAAAATACTATGACTAACATGAGTATTTGGATAAATGATATGTGTATATATTTTAATGCTCAAGAAGCAGATTTGAATTTTCTTTTTTAAAATAAAAAAAATAATATGACTCATGCAATTGAGCATTTATTAAATGATTATGATTATAGCCCTTGTCCCAAAAATGAAATTCAAAATTTTTTTTAGCATATGGGAGTAATATAATTTTACAATCTAATTATTCTAGCCATGCAAACACCAATAATAGCGCTATTAAGATAATTCCTCAAAAAATTTCAAACAAACATAACAAAATATGTTCGAAATAAGAAGTCATCCAATGATACGAAAATTAGCTTTACGATGAACATGAAGAGCATGGCAATTCCAACTTCTTTGAATAATCTCCCTGCAAGCAATTGTTAATAATTTATTAGATTGAGCTCAATTCTAACATTTTAAAGTGTTAACCAGACATAACTCGGCTCATAGATACCTCTAATTAGAGACATTTTTTTAATTTAAATTATCATCTAAAAACTATCTTCCCTAACCATATTGAAATTGTCACCTTCACAATCAATTGCAGAAGTCCTATCTTTACCTATCTATGATATATATATAAGGGTATTGATATTGGAAATTTTTTAATTGACCAAAATGGTCATATCCATTCATTGTATTGTATTTATTGTCCTTTTAAATATTTTTATTATTAATATTAATAAAATTTATTTAATTTATAAATATATAAGAATTCTAATTATATCAAATTATTTTCATTAAAAATATTTTTTATTATAAATATTAATAACATTTATCGAATGGGTAAATCATAATTTTAATTGCACTGAATGACAATTAATATAATATTTTGAATAATGAAAATGAGTTATGCAGATAATTCAAATAGAAACTACAATAGTGTATACCAAAACAAATAGTACTATTATTCGGCAGGAAAGCTCACATACACGCATGAGACAAATAGGATTATTTAATAAGGTTTGATACTCTTAATTAGTGTATACAGATATCAAACAAAACTTAAACTCTTAAATTTATTTTCAGGGGTAACCCTTAGCACTCAAACTTTCATACTCACAATATCCTTTACAGTCCAAAGCAATTGGTCAATCTCATTAAGTGCCTTTTATTAGAAATTGCAACTCAAATACTTAAAGATTTGGATTAAGTATACTTGACAGTAATTTTATGATTACTTATAACTAAATCATGAGTTTCAACACATATCCTTCATTTGTAAATTTTATGATTTAGCTTCTGTTCTTTGCACAGCCATTTTTTTCTTTCAAGAATTTCTTAATACACAACTTTGCATCTTCGGTAAACCTCTTGCTCTTGAAATGTTATGTCTACTTTGATATTTGATACCTCCAATGACATACACAACATAATAAATTCTTTTTACACCTTTGTCATGATTTTTTTTTTTATATTTTCGCAACATGTTCTTTTCTTTTGTAGCTTCTTTCCATGGTGTATTTTAATTCCTATAAAGATCAACTTGTCATTCTTTCCCATAATGATGAAGACATGAAAAAGGGATTATTTCTTCCCTTATATTTGGTCAAATTTTGTCATCTTTGTCAATGCTCTTATCACTATGGAAGAATGGCCTCTAAATCCACCAAAATTTCGCAACCTATCTCAAGAGCACAATATATTCAATCTTATCTTCATGATAAAACTTCAAGTCATGAGAGAATTGTCAATTTAGAAAATCACATAATTTTCGGTGAAGTTTATTGGATAACTTCCTTTAAACTTATTGAGGAATTTAATTATATTTCCAAAGATTTGGAATGGGCTGAAGATATGTTATTTCATTATGAGAAGTTTTGAAGATTGACGATGCTATTTATTTATCTTTATACACTTATGATCGAAACACAAATGTCACTCGAGCATTCTATGAAGGTTGGTGCCTAGTGTCATGAACTACATTCCTTCGTTTAAATATGCGATAGACTTTGCAACGCTTGAGTATACGTTTCTATGCAAGCAAGTTAATAAATCATTTATATCTTATCAAACATCAATAATAGTAACAAATTATACTAATACCGAATACCATATGTGCAACTACTGAAACTAAATAAGGAAAAATATCTTATTAATGTGAAAATAAGTACAAACGGACCAAAACAAGCCATCGTCTGGCCATATGGGCAGTTTAAGATGATTCGTTATAAATATAACTTTACCAATGAGGTAGCACAACAATCCGTCGACTGCTAATCCCCTATAAAGAGTTTACAAGATTTTACAAGTATTCTACCAATAGCCATTACAATGCTTTAAATGATAACATTCTTTTCCTAAAGGGTCTTTCCCCCTAAAGACTTAACAAGTATTTCTATAGATGTCACCACGAGCCATTACAATGTTTGAAAAGAGGACATTTTCCTCACAAGTACAAAAGACTCAATCTCTTAGACTACTTTAGCCTGTCATAGTTCGAGACAAGGTTGACTCATGACACCTAGTCATGAACATAATCCAGGCTATCTCTAAAAAAACTTCCCTCTTATTATGGGATTTGCATAAATTGAGTGAACTTTCTATTTATGATTAGTTTTATAATGAAGTCATCATACCCATCACATAATTGACAAGTGTTGTTTTTTTTTTTTATACATAAGAACTGGAAAGGTTCAGTTTAAGATCTCAGACTAGGATAACCCAACATATCCTTAATGAGCACAAATCTATCAGAGGATTACTCAAAGAAGTCTTTTCCAACAGACAATACTGAGCCAAATTAGCAAGGAAGTTTGCACACATGTTACCTTCCCTAAAGATGTGACGAATATCTCTTACCCAACCTTTTTTAGATCAAAGTAACATAAACTTGAGCTAAAGTAACATATGGAGGAGATGTCACAACACCTTCCTTCAAGAAATGGACTACCACTGTTACATCTAGTTCAATAATCAATTAGTTCAATTGCAAGTTCTTAGTTAGCAATAAACCTTTTCAAATGCCCCAAAGTTCCACTACCAAGCTATTTATAACACTAATATTGAGGATAGAACCACAAATCCATTCTCTATTAGAATCTTGAATCAAACTTCCCACAAATGCGCACTCTAAGCTTGATTTTTAAGCACCATCAGTATTAAAAATAAAACAATTTGGTTTCGCCGACTTCCACTTAACCCATTTAGCCACCATGTACTACTCTACTTTCGTTCCATGGCATGTCTAATTTCTCTAACTAGATGTTGAGGCTTGTTCCATAAATTATTAAGATATAAATCAAGGTGAAGGAAAATCCACTTATTCCTACTTTTCCAAAGTTCCCACAAATTCATAGAAAATTGAACACTCCACATCACATTGTCAATAATTCTAAACTAACTAGAACAATTTTTCTATAGCCATTCTTTTAAATTTGAATTAAAGAAACTTGCATCATCAATTCCTAGATGCAGCCAATACTTCTAAACCTTTCTCACATA